GAGAGAGAGAGAGAGAGAGAGAGAGAGAGAGAGAGAGAGAGAGAGAGAGAGTGTGTGTGTGTGTGTGTGTGTGTGTACAAACACTTGATTTTCAGCTTTCTAACTTGACTTTGGAGACTTTCTAAAATTAATTTATACGAGAGTACACTGTCACTAGAAGCCAAAATACATAAAAGTTGTTGTTTAAAAGAGAGATAATAATAGAGTAGACACAAACTTGTAAGGACCTGGACCTCCGCCACTGTGGAAGAAAAGTCTGGTCTCTTGTCAGCAATCTCTCATAAGAAAGACAGTAAAGTAACTCCAAATCAATTTTTCTTACAGGCATCACCATCACAGAAGATCAGATTTATTAATTAAGAAAGCAATTTCTTTCAACTGTTCGCCTCAGTATGCAGGACAAATTAACAGCCTAACTAAGGCCGACAGATCTCCCACAAGCAATTAGGGAAAGCACAAAGAAAAGTCTTCTATTTTTTTATAAGCAACTCACTGTTCGAGGAAGACTTCAGCATTGTGGAGCTCAGTCTAGCAAAATTTAAAGCAAAAGAACATCCGGGACTCGACACAATGCACAATGAAATGTTATGCAACCTTGACCGTAAAGGAAGAGAATTCTATAGATTCTAGGCCTATAAAGAAATGTTGATCATCTTTCCTTGTGGTGAACACGTTGCAGCAAGTTAGTAGGAACGGGGAAATTACTTGTAAGAGGCTCCGCAATTAGGTCCACTGTAAAAAAAAAATATTTAAAAAAAAAGAAAAAAAGAAAAAAAAAAGAAAAGAAAAAGTAGCCAAAACGGTATACCCCAAGCAGCCAAAGGATATCTCTATTTGATTCTGAAGATATGAAATGAAAACGTCCCCAGCTAAGAACATCCAACACAGCAAGTAGTCAATTTTGACCAAAGCCTAACAAAGAAAAGACTAGTGGAAAGCATCAAGATTAAGGCGAAGACTCCAACGTTTATATTATAAGAACTAATTGCCTGCAGTTCATCATGGGGAATCTGACAAACAAACTCTGCTGAGAGCCCTATTACTGTCTTTCTTTCTTTTTTTTTTAAAATTAACAATCTTTAACGCTCACTGCTCCCTTGACAAAACCGTACTACCAAAACATATCCATAAGTATACCTATCTTTCATTTGTAGTTGTAGCACGTAATGTTAAGTTTACTCACTGTGTTTCTAGATTCTTGCTTCTGTCGAGCAGTTGTGTGCTATTGTGTATGCATGTCATCAACGCCTTTCACCCCTGGCAGGGCATAGGCCACATATTATACAAGCTCCTTCCATTTATCTCTGTCCTGAGCCATCCTTCCAAGTGAGCTTCATTTCTCTCATGTCCCTTTCCACGCATCTCCTCCATGTTTCCCGTGGCCTACCCCTGCCTCGTGCTCCTTGTGGGTTCCACTCATAGAGTTATCTCCTTTACTATAGTGTACATCTATGGTTCCACTGCAGTGACTGTCTCTTGTGATGTTTCCGCTGGGCTTTCTTAAGGCGTGTCCCATCCATCGCCACTTTCTTTGTCCTATTTCTACTTCTATGTCCTTTTGTCCTGTCCTTTCCCACAGCTCTTCATTTCTTATTCTATCCTGCCACTTAATTCTTAGAATATTCATCATACATCTGTTGATGAAAGTCAGGACTTTATTTAAGTACTGTCTTCGTTGTCTCCCAAGTTTCGCAGCCGTAGAGGAGCACAAACTTGACGTTGGAGTGTATGCGTGTGCATTACATAATTAGTCTAACGTATAGCAGCCCTTTACCAAAAAAAAAAAAAAAAAAGAAAAAAAAAAAGAAAAAAGAACAATACGATACTATAAATTAACACTTTAACCACCAGGAAAAAACTGTTAACTATGAACGTTGCGAGGGACGCGCAGAGTAACGGAGCTAGTACGTTTTGCCCCAAGGAGCTCAAAGATATAATGGATGGACTTACCGGCACAGTGCCCCAGAGTACAAACACGCAGTCCTCGTTTGTTTACAAAATTACGCGGCTGACGTCACTACCACAGCCTTTTGTAAGATTATAACTTTTTAAGTGGAGATGCAAGACAACAACATCATCATCAAAAACAATAACAACAACAACAACAGCAACTGTAAAAACAGCAACTGGTTTGTTCCGTAAAAAATCTCCTGAGCGTGACTTGGATTTCTGGTTTTACATTCACTCTGAATCATTGTTGTGTGTTGTGAAAGAGGGTAGTCGACGAAAGTAAAATTTTAGGCCGAATGACGGATTCGACAGAATCACCTGACAATGTGATGTGATTGGGCCTAGCCTGTATTAAAAAAACAACAACAACAGCGACAAGATCTACAGCAACTTCACAATTTTCACGTTGCAGATCATCAATTGTGACAGGTAGCCTTTCTTTCTGTGACTGTGACTGTGAGGCACAGACTAGAGTCTAGACTAGAGTTCAGAGTAGTTAATGCGTCAGTCTAAGTTAAAAGTGCTCTTACTTTTCGATCTCTATCACATTTATTACCACAAGTCAAGTGCTTGCATTTTATACAACCACTGTTTTTCCTCTGAAAGTGGCTATTCTCACCCGCCCGGAAGTTCTCGCAAGATCTACTCCTCCCCTCTTCTCTCTCTCTCTGTCTCTTTCTGAATACTGTCTATCGGTGTGGACAATCAAATTGACCAAAACAAAGTTAAAAAATGATGTTAAAACACAAAAGTAAATTAATTTGGTTGTCTACAAAGATGCTACGGCTATTTAACTTTTCGAATCGAGCCGAACTACGCGGGTCGCCATTTTGTTTTGTTCTCTCTCTCACTCTCTCTCTCTCCCCTGCCCACAGACAAAATTGTACGCTTTTAGTAGGCTACAAGTACAGTTGTAATGGAACGTTTGTTCACAGCACAGAATTCTACAATTTTTCTCTTATCACAGTGTAGAATTCTGTGGTTTAGGGTGAACGCAAAATTTGTTGACACGCGCACCGGGTGAGAATAGCCACAAGACCCGCCTGCACTATTCTCACCCCGGGTGAAAATAGAGGTGGCCTTTTCCTCTATTAAAACAGAAACGTTTGAACATCTCCTTTGCTTCCACCCTTAGCCCCACCCATTGATGTAACAGGCACAGTCGACCAATGCCTTCCCTCACAGCCAACTGCCATCATGTACAACTACAACAATTGTTACAATTTGAGGAACCCGTGCCCGATTTTCTCGGCAGGCCATGGATACAACCATCTCACTCAGGACTCACATAGATGGGGTAACTCCTACCCCCAAATTGCAGCCTTACTCCCCTTTTTAGCCCGGTGGCAGGGTGATCAGTTTAGAGCCGGCGGAACCAAACTTGCGAGTTTTGTAACTTGTTTCGAATCAGGGCTGAGGGGCAAAGCATATTAAATATTATATTACGAAGTGTATACAGACCCGGTATCCGGCAACAATGTCACGAAGTATACAGACCCGGTAGGGGAACTCTTTTGTGATTTCGGAAAGTGTGTGTGTGTTTGTGTGAGAGAGCGAGAGCAAGGGGAAGTGCTAGATGACATTTTTCATGTCCCAGTTGGCAGGAGGGAACGAGAGAAAACTACAGTGGGAAATAGGTGGGAGTTGGGAGAAAGAAAGAAAGAGAGAATGCGAGGGATACACAGAGACAGAGAGAGAGAGAGAGAGAGAGAGAGAGAGAGAGAGAGAGAGAGAGAGAGAGTGAGAGAGAGAGGCAGAGAAATAGGGTAACTGCTTGATTGAAATTATGACATTGTTTCTTTTTTTCAAATTGTAATTCCTCCAACTCCAAAGCGGAGGAAAAACGATCGTTCATCGAAAAGACCTCCGCAATCTCCATTTAGAGATCTAGGCTAGCCTCGTAACTAGATCAATGATTTTTATGTCTGTCTGTCTAGAATCGAGATCAAGGAACTTAGAACTTTTAATCTCCTTGGTCTAGATCTAGACCTAGGCCATAGTATAGATCTAGAAGAACCAAGGTCTACCCTGAGCCAAGAGGGTGCTGAAACTTTCCCAAATCACAAAAGAGTTCATCTACCGGGTTTATATACTTTGTGACTTTGTTCCCGGTTACCGGATCTGTTATACAAAGCATCGTCTTAAACAGGTAAAACTCTCAGAGGGGAGCGGATTTTACTTTCTGTTTCCGCGTTGGACAGGTTTCCGTTTTATACGGGTAATTAAGGGAAGACGTGCATCATTTTTTCAAAATCTGCTACGTACAGACTTAGCAATCATTTAACCCTCGTCCTGCGGGAGCCGGGTTTATTTTTATGTCGCCCGATAAGCCTATTTTGGCACCTCGCCTACGTTCTGGTCCCGAATCAGTGTAGCCCCTGGCTCAGCGCACGCGCTGCGCGCATCATCTTACGTGTTATTCGGGGGCCCTGAGTGGGATCCCCTTTCACACAGGTCAAGTGTGTGTTCGTCAGTGTGCTTGAGTTTGTGGCCTTCTTCTAGAACCACCTGCGTTGGTTCGTAATCGAGGCATACGTCTCATTCAAAACATGCCAAGTTGGTAGCTCTAGATGTTCGTCCAATGAAATTATCGAAGAAATTGACCCACTTAGCCCTGAGGAGCTCGAAAGGATAGTCAGGAAACAAGACTTCCATTTTTCTATACAAAATCTTTCAAATGAGCTTGATTTTGTATATGAAATGATAAGTTACCCAGATCAGACTTGCCAGCGTTTGCTATTTTCACCCTGCGTGAAACAAGACCTGTTTTTCATAATTTCTAAATGCTGTCTATCGGTGTGGATGAAAAAAATGATGTGATAATAGCACAAGAGTAAACTAATTTGGTCGTTTACAAAGATGCTGTATGGCTGTTTTACTTTTCAAATCGAGATGAAATACATATCATCATCATCAATGCCTTTCACCCCTGGCTGGGTATAGGCCAATAATAAGCTCTTTCCATATTTATCTCTGTCCTGGGCCGTTCTTCCAAGCTCGTTCCAAGTGAGCTTCATCTCTCTCATGCCCCTTTCCACGCATCTCCTCCATGTTTCTCGTGGCCTACCCCTGCCTCATGCTCCTTGTGGGTTCCTCTGCAGTGACTGTCTTGTGATGTTTCCGCTGGGCTTTCTTATGGTGTGTCCCATCCATCGCCACTTTCTTTTAGTCCTTTTTCTACTTCTATATCCTTTTGTCCTGTCCTTTCCCACAGCTCTTCATTTCTTATATTCAATCCTGACACTTAATTCTTAGAATACTCCTCATACTTCTGTTGATGAAAGTCTGGACTTTATTCAGTTTGCTGTCTTTGTTGTCTTTTATGTTTCGCAGCCGTCGAGGAGCAGAGACTTGACGTTGGAGTTAAAAAGTCGAATCTTGATGCGCAGTGAGATGTTGCTCGCTTTCCAGACTTTTGATAATTGATTGAATGCTGACCTTGCCTTTTTGCGATTCTTGCTTTAACATCTGCCTCGGTTCCACCTTTACCAAGGTAGGCAGGTAAAGGAGTCCACTTCTTCCAGGGGAGTGTCTTCCACAGTCACTGCAGGGCTTGAAACCTTTCCTAGCTTCACTACTTTCGACTTGCCAGGATGTATACGTAGGCCAACACTCCTTGATAGGCTGTTGAGTTCCTTGATCTTTTCTTGCATCTGAGCATGTGTGTGAGAGAGCAGTGCAAGGTCATCGACAAAGTCCAAGTCGTCCAGCTGCTGCCGAGGGATCCACTGTATTCCATAACGCTTGCCTCTGGTGGCTTCTTTCATGACCCAGTCAATTGCCAGTATGAAGAGAAAAGGTGAAAGCAAGCATCCTTGTCGCACTCCTGTCTGTACCTGGAATGGTTCGGAGAGTTGTCCATCATAGGTGGCCTTCAGAAGCTTGACGATTTTGTGAAATATTCCAAAATGCCGCATGAGTTTCCACAGAGTTTCCCTGTCCACGCTGTCAAACACCTTTTCATAATCAATGAAGTTGAACACAAGTGGTGAATTCCATTCAAATGATTGCTCAACAATTATGCGCAGAGTAGCAATCTGGTCCTCACATGATTGGTTTTTGCGGAGTCCTGCCTGGTTTCCTCGGAGGTTCTCCTTTGTTGCCAGCTTGATTCTCTTCAGGAGTATCCTGTTAAAGACTTTCCCAGGTATGGACAGGTGTGTAATGCCTCTAGTTGTTACGATTGCTGAGGTCTCCCTTCTTTGGCAGCCTGATTATGTGGCCTTCCTTCCAGTCCGATGGTATTTCCTCCTTTTGCCAACCGTTTTCAAATAGAGCGTTGAGAATTTCCACTAATATATCTTTATCTGCCTTAAGGGCTTCCGGTGGTATATGGTCTGGACCTGCTGCCTTGTAGGACTTCAGTGTTTTTATTGCTGCTGCAATTTCCTGTTTTGAAGGTGGTTCCGTAACTATTGGGAGGTCATTTCTGGCTGGAAGAATATCTGGTTGGTTTTCTGAAGGTGGTCTATTCAAGAGTTGATCAAAGTGTTCTCTGCATCGGTTAAGTTGTCCTTCTGGGTTGAAGATAGTCTTTCCCTCTTTGTCTTTCACTGGTAGAGTGGGCTTGCTGAACCTACCTGAAAGAGTTTTTGTTGTCTGGTGTACAATCCGCAAGTGCCTGTCTGTTGCTGCTTTCTGTGCCATTTCGGCCAGGCCATTCAGCTTGGTATTCTTGTCCTTCTTGATGGAATTCTTTATCTCCCGGTATACTTTGGTGTACTCTTGTTGTGCAACGAGTTTCTCATTTCAGGTACGGCTGTTGTTGACTTGGGCCTTCAGCTCTCTTCTTCTTTTGACTTTGTCTAGAGGGTCCTGTGAAATCCATTCATTCCTGGTGTTGTCTTTCAGTCCTAAGGTGCTCTGGCAAGTTGCATTTACTGCCTCTTTTATCTTGTCCCAATGTTCGTTGACTTCACATTCATCCAGGTCTTGAAGGGCTTGAAATCTGTTCTTCAGTTTCAATTTGAACTCATTCTTCTTTACTCGGTCTTTCAGAAGACTCACTTCTTACTTTAGATGATTTCCAGTTGTGACTTGTGCGTATCTTCTCAGTTTCACTTTCATCTTTCCAAGGATCAAATTGTGGTCTGATGCGACGTCTGCTCTTCGTAAGACTCAGACATCCTCCAGTGAACATCTAAACTTTCGGGAGATGCAAAAATGGTCAATCTGGTTTTCCGTTGTTCCGTCCGGGGATACCCAAGTGGCCTTGTGAATCCTTTTATGTGGGAAGATTGTTCCTCCAATAACCAGGTTGTTGACTGTACAGAAGTTTTGGAATCTTTCTCCGTTGTCATTTGCCTCTCCTAATCCATGTCTTCCCATGATATCTTCATAGTCCCCCCCCCCCCCCCCCCGGGGCAGTGCCACTGACTGAAGTGTCTTTAGGCCATTCCTAAAGGGGGGACATTTCTTGGTCAAATATA